AGGTAGGCCTGCCCACTATAAAAGGGGCTGCCTGCCCCCTCCTCTCTCTCTTGCCCCGTTGATCCCTCACCTGCAGGTTCTCTGCCCTCTCTCCTCTCCCCCCTTCCCTTCCCCCTCTCTCCACCTGGTCATGGCCGGTCTCCACTTCTCTCTTCTCTACGCCATTCCTCCCGTTTCTCTCCCCACCTTTGCCCTCCACCCTAAATAACCCTCCCCCCACCCCCCATCGTGGAACCGTTTGGTCTGGCGTTATCTGTCTAAGCTATGGGTGAAAATCTAACAATGGGTCATTTGACTCAGGGCGTCCCGTTTAGTCCACTGCATTTGTTCACATATAATCCAGGCTGTATCTTCTAGGAGGCGGTCTTCTGAAACCATCTTGTGTTAACTGTTAGAGGCTTTGGGAATTCTGTCAGCCATAAACTATTTATGTTAGTATTAGCAGACTTCTGACAAGATTGAGAGCCGTAAGGATTGGTTGTAGCTGAATAGAATTTAATAGCAGTAATAAAAATCTATCAAGACAGAGCCTTTCCTATCCTGTCTTAAGTAACTTTGGCTGGTTGTGTAGGCAGAGAAAAGCACATTTTTGTATTAGCAAAGAAACATTTAGCTAGGACCTGAATAAGAAAGCTGGCAAAGTGGCATAAGGTACAGCTGGCGGGTTGGAGCTGTGAGCCACAGGTGCTGTGAACTGTGGCGACAGGGTGGGACTTCCTACTAGCTGCCGGAAGTCGCTTCCCAGTGACTCCCGCGGCTAGAGTCTTAGTGGGCAAGGAAAAGCAAGCATGTCCCGTATTGACGGTTACTCTAGCCAGTGGGGGATGGGGAAGCTTACCAGCTCTAGGCTAGGCTAGTGAGCATGGAACCTGCAGACATCTGCTAGAGTCTCAGCACAGCTCAGAGAAGGAAGGGTATGTGGCTTCTGGTTCCAGGGTCCACTGTTGAGAAGAGACACGGGAGCAGCTGGAAGCTTTGAGCTCATTTCTTCAAATGCTAGCACAGAGCTGAGAGGGAACTGGAGAAGAACAACTGAAACAGACTCAATGCTGCCCAGTGCAGGATTCTATCAATTTATTTGTTTGTGATTGCATTTTGAGAGGACTGAGCCAGGCTGACTCCATGATAGGCTTCAAACTGGTAGCTCATGAGACTAAGCCTAAGTTTCTGTTTCCCAGAATTGGACAAGTCTGGACAAGTCAGTTACTGGAAAAACCACTGTCCATGGACAGCCAATCAGAAGCTGTCCAGCTACTTGGCCTGAGGGAAGAGCCTCAGCAACAGTTTTCAGGCTTCCCCAGCAACAGTTTCCAGGCTTCCCTAGCAATAGTTTCCAGGTTTCCCCAGCAACAGTTTCTAGGCTTCCCCAGCAATGGTTCAGGAATGTCCCCAGAGCCCCAGCCAGTCTTAAAGATACCATACCCCTAGTGACTGAACCAACCAATCAAGACAAAGGTCACCTATTCCCTCCCTGGAATCTCCTAATCTGGGAGTCTCCATCTGGGTGAATGGTAGACCCCTAAATATTATTGAGTCTGGAATATCATTCTTTACCCTTACAATTTGTTAGTTTATTGTGTTTTTTTTTTTAATCGATTTTTTGAGACAGGGTTTCTCTGTGTTACCCAGGCTGTCCTGGAACTCACTCTGTAGATCAGGTTAGCCTCAAAGTGCCTCTGCCCTCACAAGTCCTGGGATTAAAGACATGTGCCACCACCACCCAGCTTTCCTAGTTTATTTCTTATTTGATTGTTTGTTTCAAACTCATATGTGGGTGTTCTGAGTCACGCAGGTCGATCAAAGAAAGAGGGTCACTCCAGAGTGTCATCAGCCTCTGAGGCAGCAGAGAGAAACAGTCTTGATGAACTGAATCTCGAACAGCCGCACAGAAGAATACTTTATTGATTTTTTTACACAGAAGTTGTTTTTTTTTGGGGGGGGGGTTAAAACATTTTTCATACCAAAGCCCCTCACCTAATCTATTATCTTTCATAAAGGAAAATACCACACCCCTGCAACTTCAGTCCATACTGTGCACTGTTTGCAGTGCCCAATAATGCAAGATGTTCCAGCTGTTCCAGCTGTGCCAAGACGTCTCCTGACCAAAGTCACGCACAGGCTGTAAAGCTCCTTCAGGAAAACAACTCTATAGATACTGAGGAAACAATCACTGTTTTTACAATAATTCTTTCAAGGTCAAAGTTCTTCTAAAAAAAAAAAAACCCTCTTCATTCTGATATCTACCCTAGATACACTTAAAACCAACTTTTCATTGTAATGTTTACCCTAGATACAATGATTCCACTAGAATTCCACTCCGCCTATAGGTCTCAGGATTTTTTTTTTTTTTTTTCGAGACAGGGTTTCTCTGTGTAGCCCTGGCTGTCCTGGAACTCACTCTGTAGACCAGGCTGGCCCAGAACTCAAGAGATCTGCTTGCCTCTGCCTCCCAAGTGCTGGAATTAAAGGCGCCACCACTGCCCGGCAGGTCTCAGGATTTATAAACAAAGCCCCCACTCCACAGTGCTGTAGGGTGATCTCTTCCTACTTTGGGTAGCTCCCAGGGCTGCAGTACAGCTGTATAATATAGCACTGGTGTGGTATCCATGAGGCCCTGCTTCCATCCTAAGTACCAAGCACACATATATGCACTTGCATGTGTGTTTGTGCGCGCACTCACAAACCCCACATTTTTTTCTGCTGCATTAGTCTCTCTGAGGAGTCCTCTCCTCTCCCTTTCGAGGAGTCTTTATCTTAGGTGTCCCACTGGAGGACTTGACTGTAAAGAAGCAGCCCTGTAGTCAGGAAGCATGCTACTGCCAGTGTTAATTTCACTACAATGAGGGTCAGAAAAGTCGCAACCCCAACGCTCTGGAAATGGAAGTGCAAACAGCCCCTTTTCTTCTCTTTCTCCTCCCTCTGGGTTCTTCCTGACCAATCAGAGTACCTTAAGTTCCTACCCAGTCTCCTTCCATACTGCAGAGCCCACGGGCGTGGCTAGGAGGTACTGCCTACCTGCCCCTAAGGTGGAGACAAATACCTAGGTGTGCTCATGGTACCCCTAAGCCCAAGGCACTTGTGTGCCAACATACTCCACCTGCTGTGGTGAGGGTGGGCAGCTCTGCAGACTACAGAGAGCAGGGCGGGGAGGTTCAGATCTGAAAGCAAATGAGGGATTACCAAAGATTAGAGATAAGGGGCTCAACTCTATCTACAGTGCACTAGGAGGAAGGGTCCCCGGGAAGTGTAAGGACAGCAGTGGATAGCCAGCACCTGGACAGCCTGAAGAGAAAGAACACAGGAAGTCTTGTGTGGATGGGCCACAGTCCCAAACCTCCTGTGAGAGTTCTTCCCTAGCCTTTCCTTCTCTGGCTGTGTGGGGTTTGGTTTGGTTTGGTTTGCTTTGGTTTGGTTTGGTTTGGTTTGGTTTGGTTTGGTTTGCTTTGGTTTGGTTTGGTTTGGTTTGGTTTGGTTTGGTTGCTCTGTCTTTTAGCACCCATGTGTGACTTTCAAACCAGCAATGAAGACACACAGAGAAAGAGGTTTTTAAGACAGGAGACAGGACAGTCAGTCAGCTCAGAACTTAAGGCAGAAGAGGTGAGCATAGACTTCCCTCTCTCCTTCCCCTAGAATCTGGCCTAGCAGGTTCCAGTGACAACCTTTGTGTGCAAGCTTGGCTCTGAGCCAGCAGTTCCCACTGGGCTGGAAGACAGCACAGAGAGGGGTGAGGTGGGGGAGGGACCCTCAAAGCTTATCATTGCTAATTACTATGGAAGCTGGCAGGAAGCAGTGTCTGTCTAAAGCCTAGCAGGGGCTGTACAAGTGAGTGATGGAGATCCCAGGGGAGTGGCAGCGATGGCTGGGTCAGAGGGAAGAAGGAAGGCTCAAGAATGGGGCTGACAGGGCTCTCTCTTCTGAGACACTAGGGGCCTCCCTGGCACCTCTCTGTGTGTGAGCTCCAGGCATCGCCCCGCCCAGCCTTCCCCCCCACCCCCCACTGATCTCAGAGACTCAAGGTGTCAGCTCCTCTTCGACAGTCACTGTCCCCTGAGTCTTGCTTTCTCAGTTGAGGACAGAGGTTGAGGCTGAGTCTCCTTGTCTCTGAAGACCTCCGCAGAGGGGAGACCCTCACTCAAGTCTCAGAAAGTCTCAACCACCCAGTAATCTGCTCGAGACACCGTGTACCAGAGCAATTGC